TGTCCGAGGAGGAGCTCACGGTTCTCCGTGCGCAACTCGACGATCTACTCGACAAGGGTTGGATCCGCCCTAGCAGCTCACCTTACGGTGCGCCCATTCTATTCGTTCGGAAGAAGAACAAGGACCTTCGACTTTGCATTGACTATCGACGCCTCAACGTGCAAACCATCAAGAACGCGGGGCCTCTACCTCGCATTGACGATTTGCTTGAGCGGTTGGGCGGCGCCAAGTACTTTTCGAAGTTGGACCTCAAGTCGGGCTACCATCAGATTTCCATCCGCCCGCAAGACCGGTACAAAACCACGTTTAAGACGCGATATGGGCATTTTGAGTGGGTAGTTATGCCTTTTGGCCTCACCAATGCCCCGGCCACMTTTCAGGCGGCCATGACCACCGAGTTTCGCGCTATGTTGGACCGCTTCGTTTTGGTCTACTTAGACGGCATCCTCTTCTATAGCCGAACTCTAGAGGAGCATCTCAAGCACCTTCGCCGTGTTCTAGAGACTCTTCGGTCAGCCCGGTACAAAGCTAACCGCGACAAATGCGAGTTTCTCTGGCAAGAGCTTGAATACTTGGGTCATTTTGTCTCTCCAGAAGGCATTCGTCCGTTGGCGGACAAGATTCAAGCCATCCAGGAGTGGCCCGAGCCGAAGACTGTGACGGACGTCCGATCCTTCCTCGGCTTGGCCGRTTATTATCAGCGCTTCATCAAGGGTTACTCGAAGATCGCGGCCAACCTAAGCAAGTTACAAAGCAAAGAGCGGCCTTTTGACTTCGACGACAACGCGCGTCATTCTTTTGAGACACTCAAAGCGGCACTCTTGTCCACCGAGGTGTTACATATTTACGACCCGCTTCTAGCTACGCGCGTCACTACCGATGTGTCGGGCTATGGCATTGGGGCCGTCCTTGAGCAGCACGATGGCACGGACTGGCACCCGGTCGAGTACTTTAGCAAGAAAGTACCTCCCGTGCATTCGATCGACGACGCACGGAAGAAGGAGCTTCTTGCCTTCGTCCACGCCCTCAAGCGTTGGCGACATTTCCTCCTTGGTCGGAAAGCATTCCGATGGGTAACGGATAACAATCCGTTGGTATTCTACAAGTCGCAAGACACGATTAACAGTACCATTGCCCGTTGGATGGCTTTCATCGATCAGTTTGACTTTTTCCCCGATCACATTCCCGGGAAGTCAAACCGTTTTGTGGACGCCCTCTCACGGCGACCAGATCTTTGCACCGCAGTCTACTCTACCTTCGAGATCGACGATGACTTGCGAGAGAGCTTCATCCGCGGCTATCAAGCCGACCCCCACTTTCGCGACAAGTACACGAATTGCTCCTCTCCGAATCCGGTGCCTTCGCATTATCGGATCCAAGAGGGCTACTTACTTGTGCACTCACGGGGTAAGGATCTTCTTTATGTGCCGAATGATTCACACTTGCGCACACGGCTTCTTGGCAAGTTTCACGATGCGCCTGCCTCCGAACATTTTGGCGTCAACCGCACTCTTGGCCGACTTCGCCAGCGGTTCTATTGGCCCGACCTTCTCAAGGACGCCACTCGCTATTGTGAGTCGTTTGAAGTCTGTCGGCGTTGCAAGTCACGCAACCATCGTCTGTTCGGCGAGCTACACCCATTACCAGTACCCCTTGGGCGACGGGAAGCAATTGCTATGGATATCACCGGCCCCTTCCCGAAGCACAAGACCGGCGTTGATGGGATCCTCACGGTCGTCGACCACCTCACCAAGTACGCCATGTTTTTGCCTTGCCGCTATCACGCAAAGGCACCGGAGTTAGCCGAGGTCTTATACACCGGTTGGATTCGCTCCAAGGGCTACCCCAAG